GAGAAACAACAGAAGTTCATGGGTGAGGGGAAGAAGAAGAAAGAAAAACGAGGTTAAATTGGGAGAGAGCCAAAGCATAAGAGACTCTTAAAAACTGAGAACAAACTGAGGGTTGATGGGGGGTAGGATGGAGGGGAGGGTCGTGGGTATTGAGTGGGACACCTTTTGGGGTGAGTACTGGGTGTTGTATTGAAACCAATTTAACAATAAATTTCATATTTAAAAATAAGTAAATAAATAAAAATATAAGACCAAAAAATAATCCTGCACTAGTCAAATATATGTCATTTAATAACTGTTGATGGTGAAAATAGCAAAAAATAAAATAAAATAAAAATAAAAAAATAATGAAAGCCAGATTAGCCACACTTATATCAGATAAATTGGATTTTAAGCCAAAGACTGTTACAAGAGATGTAGAAGGCACTATATCATAATAAAAAATTCTATACAACAAGATAAAAAATCATAAATATTTGTGCTCCCAACTTTGGACCACCCATATACATAAAACAATTACAAACATAAAGAAACTCAGTAATAATTAAAAAAAATAATAGTGGACTTAACACCCTACTTACAAAAATGGACAACTTCTAACCAGAAAACTTACAAGGAAATAATGGCTTTGAAAGACACATTGGATCAGATGGACTTAAGAGATATATTCAGAACATTTCATCCTAAAGCAGCAGATTACACATTATTTTGAAGTGCACACAGAACAGTTTCCCAATAGATCACATACTGGGTCACATATGAGGCTTCAAGAAATATTTTTTTTTAAATGAGATTACACCATGCACATTGTCTGACCACAACACTATGAAGTCAACCACTAGGAAATACTTGGACAGAAAAAAATTCATTCTTTAATGAATGGGTTAACCAGGAAATTAAAAATGAAATAAAAAGTACATGGAAACAAATGAAAGTGAAAACATAATGGTCAAAAACCTTCAGGATGCAGCAAAATCAATCATAAGAGGGAAATATATAATAACAGAGGCCTAATTCAAGAAGAAAGGAAAATATCAAATACACAACCTAAGCTTACACCTAAAGAAGCTAGAAAATGAACAGCAAATGAAGCCTGAAGCAAGCAGAAGCAGGGGAATAATAAAGTTAGAACAGAAATAAACAATATAGAAACAAACAAACAGGAAAAAGTAGAACAGATCAATGAAACCAGAAGTTGCTCCTTTGAAAGAACTAATAAAATTGATAAACCACAAGCCAGACTTATCAAAAAAAAAAAAAAAAAGAAAAAGGACTCAAACAAATAAGATAATGAATGAGAGAGGAGAAATCACAACCATCTGCACAGTAATAAAAACATTATCAAAGAATATTATGAAAAGTTATATGCAAACAACTTGGGCAATCTGGCAGAAATGGACATAGTTCTAAAAACATAAACTACCAAAACTGAAACAGGAAGAAAAACAAAATTTAAACAGGCCAATAACTATCAAATAAATTGAAACAATAACCAAAAATCTCTCAACGAAAAAGTCTAGGGCCCGATGGCTCGCCAGGGGAATTCTACCAGTTAAAGGAGAGTTAACCTCTTCTCAAACTGTTCCAAAGGTAGAAATGGAAGGAAAATGAAACTCATTCTACTAGGCTAGCATTACCTTGATTCCAAAACCAGATAGAGACTCCACTATAAAGGTGAATCACAGGCTAGTATCCCTGATGAAAATGGAAAAAAAAATTCTAAACAAAATATTAGCAAATTTAATCCAACAATAAGAATCATTCACCACAATAAAATGGGATTTATTCCTGGGCTGCAGGATTGGTTCAATATTCACAAATCAGTGTGATACACCACATTAATAAAAGAAAGGATTAAAACCATATGATTCTCTCAATAGATACAGAAAGAAATATTTGGCAAAGTACAGCTCCCATTTTTGATGCAAACCCTCAAAACAATAGGGATAGATGGAACATAACTCAACATCATAAAGGCCGTATATGAAAGACTCACAGCTAATATCATCCTCAATATGGAAAAAGTGAGAGATTTCCCTCTGTAGTCAGGAGAAATGAGAGCTGTCTACTCTCACCATTGTTATAAAATTAGTATTGGAAGTCCTACACTCAGCAATCAAACAAAACCACCACCACCACCACCAACAACAACAACAAAATAAAGGGTATTGAAATCGGCAAGGAAGAAGTCACCATTGTTTATAAATTTAGTACTGGAAGCCCTAGACTCAACAGTGAAACAATAACATCATTAAAATAAAAATAAAATGACAGGTGTTGATGAGGATGTGCAGAACCCTCTTGCACTGTTAGTGGGAATGCAAACTGGTGCTGCTAATCTGGAGAAAGGTACAAAACTTACTCAAAATGTTAAAAACAGAACTACCTTATGACCCAACAATTGCACTATGAGGTATTCACGCAAAGATACAAAAATACTAATGGGTACATGCACCCCGATATGTCTAGTAGCATTATCAACAAAGCCAAACAATGAAGACAGCCCAAATGTCCATCAACTGAGGAATGGATAAAGTGTGCTATATATATTCAATTGAATATTACTCGAAAGAAAGAAAGAAAGAAAGAAAGAAAGAAAGAAAGAAAGAAAATAGGAAATCTTGCTATTTACAATGACTTGGATGGAGCTAGAGTGTATTATGCTAAAGGAAAAAAGACAGTGAGATACATAGAAATACCACATGATTTCACTCATAGGTATAATTTAATAAACAAAACAAATGAATTAATGGTAAGGGGGAAAAGAACAAAGAGGGAAACAAATAATAAGAGACTCTTAATGTTAGAGAACAAACTGAGGGTTGCTGGAGGGAAGTGGCTAGGGCATGAGCTAGATTATTGATGGATATTAAGGAAGGCACCTGTTGTAATGAGCATTGGGTGTTGTATGTATAGAATGAATTACTGAATTCTACTTCTGAAACCAATATTATACTGTATGTTAAATAAAAATCGCTTAAAATTTTTAAAAATATATTTTTGAGAGCTTTAGGAGAGGAGTTAAGATGGCTGAGAAGTAAGCAGACCCTGGGCTTTCTTTGTTCTCAAACACAGCTCTAAAGGTCAGATCACTTGGAACACCCAGGAAATTGATCTGCAGATTGACAGAGAATCTCCACAGTTGGAAGAAGAGAGTTTGGAAGGTGTGAGGTGCATGAAGGTGAATTAGGGAAGAGAAAAATGTCTGTGTCTCATAGGGGAGAGAACTTTTTTTGTGGAGAGACAAAAGAGAAAGAAAGAGAGAGGAGTTGAGAAAGTGAAGCATCGAGTTAGCACATGAGGAAAACCTCTCTGGAACAATGACTGAGAAGTGTGAAGTATTGTGTCCCAGTTGGTTTTTTGCATACTGCATTTGGAGCTCAAACTCTGAGGTTTTGGAAGTGTGCAACTTTCTCTGGAGCAGAGCTGTAGTGTGCACTCCTGGGGAAGGAGGGAGCTAGCCCTGAGTGCATAGTGTGGTGTAGGGACCTCTGGGGTGCACTGGGAAAGAATATTATCTTTCCTAGAGTACTTTTGGAAGAGGGTTTATTGTCTCCCAAGACAAAAGACCCTGTAGGTGCCAGACAAGGTCTTTTATCAACAGGGGACAGAGGTGCATCCAGAGGGAATTTAACCTTTGCTGCCTTTAGTGGTGCTACACCATAGATTCCATGCACTGTGCAGGCTTGGGATAGTTTCTCAGGGACAGAGGCTTTCACATAGCATGGAGAAGCTCTACTATGAAGGAGGGGAGCATATCCATGTGGTGCCGGGTCCTTTAAGACTTTGAGTTTTGAATCCTAGCATCACGCCAAAGAAAAAAACACAGAAGAGTTGTGGTGCAGGGCAAGCTGACTGTCATCGCTGTTCTGTGAGGGCTGCCTGAACAGATGGATGTAAGAGATCCCCACCTGGGGATGAGAGACTGGGGTGGCGCCATTTCCCCACCCCCCAACGCCAACATGGTGGGACTTCAGAGAGCAACACTGCAGCCTCTAGTGAAGATGTGACCCACTGACACCAAACCCCACCCCCCACCCCGTGCCTGGCAACTATGCATTTACTGGGTCAAGAGTGACTGTAAGCCAAAGCAGTGGACCTTTCCTCCAGAATACCACCAAAGCCAGCACCCCACATATACCAAGTGTATTGAATATCCAGAGGTTCAGAATGATACCTATAGTTCTTTTATCTTATTTTCTTTATTCTTCTTTTCTTCTTTTGGAATCAGGCTCGTAGTTTATTTTTTTCTTTTCCATTTCCTTTTCTCTCTCTTTTTTTGGGGAGATCAGTCTTTTTTATTCTTTTTTTATATATATACCATTCTTTTTCTTTGGAATCAGTCTTATAGTTTTTTTTTTATTCTGTATTTTTTTTCTTGTCAATTACCTTCCCTCTTTTTGGAGGGATCAGACTCCCCCTTCTTTTTTCCAGGGTTACTTCAGCTAATAAATCAAAGCATACCTAGTTAAAGGTCCAAAAATTCCAAAACTGCAAGCAAGGAGGAGCTCTGCAGAGGTTTGACAAGTGAAAAAGAGCAGCCAAAACACACCAGCAGGATGCACACAGCATACACCAGGAAAACTTCCTAAAATGTCAGGACCTTGACAGTGTATGACCTATTTTTAATATAGAAGTAGTCTCAGGTGCAGGAAACATAACAAGAGTTCAAAATACAAGAAAGACAGAGCTTTATCCAAAATGACATGGTGGAGGAATATCCCCCAAAAGAAAAATCAAGAATAAACCGCAGACAGGGATTTGCTCAAAACAGATATAAGCAATATAACTGAACAAGAATTTAGAACAACAGTCATAAGACTACTAGTTTGACTTGAAAATATCATAGAAAATACTAGAGAAAACCATGCTCCAGAGATCAAATACCTAACAAAAAGGATGAAATAAAAAAAATCTATAACTGAGATGCAAAACAAACTGGATACAGTCACAATGAGGATTCAAGAAGTAGGAGAGAGAATGGGTGAAATAGAAGATAAAATTATGGAAAATAACAAAGCTAAAACAAGAAGGGTTGGAAATTACTAGATCATGAAGGGACACTTAGAGAACTAAGTGATTCGGTGAAACAGGTCAATATTTGTATCATAGAAGTCCCAGAAGAAAAGCCAGAAAGGGGAGCAGAAGTTTTATTTGAACAGATTATAGGTGATAACTTCCCTAATCTGGAGAAGGAAACAGACGTTCAATTCAAAGTGGCAGAGAGAATCTGCCTCAAATTCAACAAAAAAAATAGGTCAGTGTCATGACATATCATAGTGAAACTTGCAAAATACAAAGACTAAGAGAGATTCTGAAAGCAGCAGGGATAAAAGGTCCTTACCTACAAGAGTAGAAACCTAAGGCTAGTAGCAGACCTGTGCACTGACTTGGCAGGCTAGAAGGGAGTGGCAGAAAATTATTCAATGTACTGAATGAAAAAAAAATGCATCTAGGGGTCCTTTATCCAGGAAGGCTGCCACTCAGAATAGAAGAGATAAAGAGTTTCCCAGGCAAACAAAAACTAAAGGAGTTCATGACCACTAAACCAGCCCTGGAAGAAATTTTAAGGGAGGCTCTCTGACTGGAGAAAAAAAAAAAAAGAAGATGACCAAAGCAACAAAGACTAAAAAGGAACAGAGAAATCACCAGAAAAGCCAATTCTACAGGCACTGCAATGGCACTAAATTCATATCTTTCAATAATCACTCTCAATGTCAATGGACTAAATACTCTAAGTAAAAGACATAGGGTATCAGAATGAATACAAAAAGAAGATCCATCTATATGCTGCCTACAAGAGACTCATTTAGACCTAAAGACACCTTCAGGTAGAAAGTGAGGGAAAGGAGAACCATCTATCATTCTAATGCTGGTCAGAAGAAAGCCAGAGTAGCCATATTTATAGTGCAGACAAACTAGATTTTAAAACAAAGACTGTAATAAGAGTTAAAGAAGGTCATTGTCTCATAATTAAGGAGTATATCCACCAAGAAGATGAAACAATTGTAGATATTTATGATTCCTGCTTGAAAGAGCCCAAATATATAAATCAATTAGTCACAAACATGAAGCAATTCATTGATAACAATACCACAATAGTAGGAGATTTTAATACCCCACTTAGAGCAGTGGAAAGATCATCAGGGCATAAAATCAACAAGGAAACAATGGCTTTTATTGACACACTGGACTAGATGGACTTAACAGACATATTCAGAACATTTCATCCTAAAGCAGCAGAACACACATTAGTTTCTAGTGCACATGGAACATACCCCAGAATAGATCATACTGGGTCACAAATCAGCCCCCAAACAGTACAAAAAGATCGAGATCATACAATACATAGTTTCAGATTACAATGCTATGAAACTTGAAATCAAGCACAAGAAAAAATTTGGAAAGCCCTCAAATGCATGGAGGTTAAAGAACATCCTACTAAAGAAGGGATTGGTTAAAAAGGAAATGAAAGATGAACTTAAAAAAAAAACAGGGATGCCTCTGTAGTTCAGTGAGTTAAGTGTCTAACTCTGGATTTCAGCTCAGGTCATGATCTCATGGTTTGTGAGTTTGAGACCCACATCGGGCTCCACACAGACAGTGTGGAGCCTGCTTAGGACTCTCTCTCTCCCTCTCTCTGCTCCTCCCCAGCTCTCTCTCTCTCTCTCTCTCTCTCTCTCTCTCTCTCTCTCTCTCTCCAAAAAACAACAAAAAAAACTTAAAAAACCTGGGAATCAAATGAAAGTAAAACATCACAGTCCAAACCCTTTGAGATGCAGCAAAGGCAGTCTAAGAGGAAAGTACATTGGGATTCAGGCCTATCTCAAGGAGCAAGGAAGGTAAAAAATACACAACCTACACCAAATAAATACAAATCATTATAAGAGGATACTATGAAAAATTAAAAGCCAAACAACTGGGCAAACTGGTAGAAATAGACAAAGTCCTAGTACCTCACACATTCAGAAAACTCAAACAGGAAAAAAATAGAAAATTTGAACAAGTCATAATAAAAATCTCCCAAAATAGAATCCTGAGCCAGATGGCTTCCCAGGGGATATTTACAAGGCATTGAAAGAAAAGTTAATACATACTCTTTTCAAACTGTTCCAAAAATTAAAAATGGAAGGAAAGCTTCCAAATTCTTTGAAGCCAGCATTAACTTGATTCTAAATCCAGACAAAGATCACATGAAAAAGGAGAATTACAGGCTAATATCCATAATGAACATGGTTGCAAAAATCCCAACAAGACACTAGTATATTGAATTCAATGGTATATTAAAAGAATTATTCACCATGTTCAAGTGGTATTTATTTGTGGGCTGTATGTCTGGTTCAATATTCACAAATCAATCAATGTGATACACTACTTTAATGAAAGGAAGGATAAGGAACATATGATCCTTTCAACAGATACAGAAAAAAGCATTTGACAAAACATATCATCTTTTCCTAATTAAAAAAAAACTCAAGAAAGTAGAGGTAAAAAGAACATACATAAAAATCATAAAGGCCATATATGGAAGGGCCACAGGTAATCTCATTCTCAATGGAGAAAAACTGAGAGCTTTTCCCCTAAGGTCAGCAACATGACAAGTATGCCCACTCTCATCAATGTTGTTCAAAATAGTACTAGAAATCCTAACCTCATCAATAAGACAATAAAAAATAAAAAGCATCCAAATTGGCAAGGAAGAAGTCAAAAATTTTCACTCTTTGTAGATAACATGATACTTTACATGAAAAACCCAAAGGACTCCACAAAAACGTGCTATAACAGACACATGAATTCAGCAAAGTCACAGATATAAAATCAATATGCTGAGATTGGTTGCATTTCTATACAGCAATAAAGAAGCAGGAGAAAGAGATATTGAGGAATCGATCCCATTTACAATTGCACCAAAAGCCGCAAGACACTTAGGAATTAACCTAACCAAAGAGGTAAAAGATCTGTACACTGAAAAGTACAGAAATCTTATAAAAGAAATTGAAGAGGAAACAAAGAAATGGAAAAACATTCCATGCTCATGAATTGGAAGAGACAATACTATTAAAATGCCTATATTAGGGGCGCCTGGGTGGCGCAGTCGGTTAAGCGTTCGACTTCAGCCAGGTCACGATCTCGCGGTCCGTGAGTTCGAGCCCCGCATCAGGCTCTGGGCTGATGGCTCAGAGCCTGGAGCTTGTTTCCGATTCTGTGTCTCCCTCTCTCTCTGCTCCTCCCCCGTTCATGCTCTGTCTCTCTCTGTCCCAAAAATAAATAAACGTTGAAAAAAAATTTAAAAAAATGCCTATATTATCCAAAGCAATCTACGCATTCAATGCAGCCCTATCAAATAACATCATAATTGTTCACAGAGCTAGAAAAAAAAATTCTCAAATTTGTATGCAACAAAAAAGACCATGAATTGCCAAAGAAATGTTGAAAAGTAAAACCATTGCTGGGAGCACCGCAATTTCAGACTTCAAGCTGTATTACAAAGGTGTAATCATCAAGACAGTATGGTATTGGTACAGAAACAAATAGAACAAATGAAATTGCATTGAGAACTCAGAATAGACCCACAAATATGTGCCCAACTAATCTTCAACAAATAAGGATAGAGTATCCAATGGAGAAAAGACAGTCTCTTCAGCAAATGATACTGGGAAAATTGGACAATGACAGGCAGAAGAATGAAACTGGACCACTTTCTTATACCAGTCACAAAAATAAACTTAAAATGGATGAAAGATCAAAATGTGAGACAGAAAACCACCAAAATACTACAGGAGAAAACAGGCAGCAACCTCTTTGACCTCAGCTGCAGCAACTTCTTACTAGACATGTCTCTGGATGCAAGGGGAATAAAATAAAAAATGAACTATTGGGACCTCATCAAGATAAAAAGCTTCTGCACAGCAAAAGAAATAACAAATAAAACTAAAAGGCAACTGACAAAATGGGAGAAGATATTTGCAAATGACATATCTGATAAAGGGTTAGTATCAAAAATATATAAAACACTTATCAAACTCAACACCCCCCCCCAAAAAAAAACCCCACAAATTATCCAGTGAAGAAATGGGCAGAAGACATGAATAGACACTTCTCCAAAGAAGACATCCGGATGGCTAACAGACACATGAAAAAATTCTCAGTATTACTGATCATCAGGAAAATACAAATCAAAACCACAATGAGATACCACTTCACACCTGTCAGAATGGCTACAATTAACAACTCATGGAACAACAGATGTTGATGAGGATGTGGAGGAAGGGGAACCCATTTGCACTGTTGGTCAGAATGCAAAATGGTACAGCCACTCTGGAGAACAGTATGGAAGTTCCTCAAAAAATTAAAAATAGAATTATCCTATGAGCAAGGAATTGCATTACTAGGTGTTTATCTTAAGGATACAAAAATGCTGGGGCGCCTGGGTGGCGCAGTCGGTTAAGCGTCCGACTTCAGCCAGGTCACGATCTCGCGGTCCGTGAGTTCGAGCCCCGCGTCGGGCTCTGGGCTGATGGCTCAGAGCCTGGAGCCTGTTTCCGATGCTGTGTCTCCCTCTCTCTCTGCCCCTCCCCCGTTCATGCTCTGTCTCTCTCTGTCCCAAAAATAAATAAACGCTGAAAAAAAAAATTAAAAAAAAAATGCTGATTCAAAAGGGCACATGTACCCCCAATATTTATAGCAGCACTATTGACAATAGCCAACATATGGAAAGAACCCAAATGCCCATTGTCTGATGAGTGGATAAAGAAGATTTCACCAGCAATGAAAAAAGTGAAATCTTGCCATTTGCAACAACGTGAATGGAACTGGAGGGTATTATGCTAAGCAAAATAAGTCAGTCAGAAAAGACAAACATTATCTGATATCACTCATATGTGGAATTTAAGAAACACACAGATGAACAGATGAACATAGGGGAAGGGAAGGAAAAATAAGATAAAAACAGAGAGGGAGGCAAACCAAAAGATACTCTTACAGACAGAGAAAAAATAAGTGTTGTTGGAGGGGAGGTGAGTGGGAGGATAGGCTAAATTGGTGATGGACATCAGGTAGGGCACTTGTTGGGATGAGCACTGGGTATTATATGTAAATGATGAATCACTGTGTTCTACCCCTGAAACCAATACTACACTGTGTGTTTACTAACTTGAATTTAAATAAAT